GGGAGGGGAGGCCCGGCGGCCCAGGTACTGGAGCTTTCGAGGCTCAGGGTCATTGCTGAACTCGGGCGGGGGCGGGATGACCTCGAAGCTGAACTCCTCCTCCTCCCTCTTGCAGGAGGGAGAGGAAGGGGACGAGAAGGACTTGGGCAGCGCGCGGGCCTGGGGGAGGTTGGAGGAGGCGGACCGGTCCCAGGCCACAGGGGCCTGGGGCTCCGCCTTGGTCCAACTGTGCCCTCGGCTGGGCTCTGTGTTCTCCGGGTCTCTGCCCAGCTGGGCCTTCCACGGACGGGGCTGTGCAGAGGCGGGGGGCTGGGGGCCCTTCTCAGGCTCGGTGGGAGGCTTGGGGACCACCGTGAAGGAGTTGGGCTGGCCATTCCTAAGGAAGATGCTGTCGGAGCCTGCCTGGGGCTGCCCTCGGAGACTCCCGGGCAGGGAGGACCCAGCCAGTCCGGCCCCTCGAGACCGCCCCTTCTGTGCCCTCTGCCTGGCTGCCAGGAGCAGGGCCATCGGGGAGCCCCGCTCCACCACCTCCCCGGTCACCGGGTGCCTGAGGAGTTCGTCTGCAGGCTGGGCAGGGGCTGGGGCTTTGGCTGGCAGCCCTTGGGGCTCCCCCACCTCCACAGCCTCCCCTGACCCCGCAGCCGCTCCTCTGGCCATGGTGGGCATCACCACGGCAACCTCGCGGCTGGGGCTGTTCTGGCTGCTGTTCTGGCTGCGATGGGGTTTGTAGAGACAGGTCACCTCTTCTCTCCCAGGGGACATCTTTGGTGGGAGGGCTGGAGGGGACAGGGCTCCCTGTGTAGGAGGCTTCCTGGCCTCCGAGGGGCGCCCTTCTGCCTCTGGCTGGGAAGGCGCTGCGAATTCTTGGGGTTCTGGTTTCTTCCTCTGCTCGGCTGGGGCCAGTTTCTTCTCTGTCGTTGGGAATGACGCGGCGGGCAGGGGGGTGGCTGTGGGTGGTGTGGCCGGCCCACGCGCGGCTGCAGCAGGTGTGGACTTGGGTGGTGTGGCTGGCCCGGGCATGGCCTTGGACTGGTGTGGTGTGGTTGGCTGGGCGGTGGTGGAGAGGGGTGGCGTGTTCTTGGCCACGGGCTTGGAGCACTGGCCATTAGCAGCTCTGTTTTCAAAGACTCTCGCCCCTTCTAGCCGAGGCTTAGGGGGCAGAGACCCGATGCTGGGCTTGGGTTCCTTCTCCGCCGATGCCGAAAGCCGCGCCTCCAGCTCACTCCGGATCTGCTGGACACTGATCATCGGAGAGTCCTGGGGGGTGTAGTCCGCAGGGGGCAGGGGCAGGGGCAGGCTGGCGGTGGCCTCTCTGTCTGGGCGGGGACTCTTCTCGGGATCACTTGGGGGGATCTCCTTCTCCGGCAGGCCGGGGCCCTTCCTGTCTTCCTTTCCCGGAGAGGCCGCCGTCGGGCCTGGCCTGTGACTGGTGCCTCGGTCCTCTCTCTTGGAGCCAAAGAGGTAGGCTGCCAGCTCGCTCCGAAGCTTTGCCATCTGGCTGGGGTCCCGCCAGTCCACGGGCTCTGAAGAGGCTGTGTTCTCTGAAGAGCCTGTGTCCTCTGGGCTGGGGGGGCTGGGTTTGGGTTTGGGAGCAGGAGAGCTGGATTTGGGGCTTTTCATAAACCTAGCAGGTGGAGGGGTTGCCTTCTCAGCAGAGGGCAAAGGAGGGGCAGCTGGGGGGAGAGGGGGTGCTGGGGGAGGGAGCGGGGGTGCTGGGGGAGGGGGTTGGGGTGTGGGGCGGGGCAGGGGGAGAGGCTGGGGGTGGAGTCTCAGCTTGTTCCCTTGTCCTGGTCTGGGGGCTGGCTCAGCCTGGGGGCTGGCAGGTGCCTCCCGTGCGGAGCTCCCCGGGGCCCATCTGGTTCAGGGGCCCTATCCGGGTAGACCTGGGATGCGGGGCGGATGTGGAAGCTGGGGGGCAGTGGGAGTCGGCTGGGGGCCTTCTGGGTGGCCCCTTCTCCCTCGGCAGGAGCCCCGGGTGCTTCCTGCACTGGGATGGACGAGGTCCTGACTGGGGTTGGGGGAGGCACCTTGAATGAACGGGGGAAGGTGAGGTGGGACTCTGGCTTAGGTCCTAGGGGGCTCCCCTTTGGCTCAGCAGGGCTCCTGGGGGGGCTGGTTCTGGGGGCCTCTGGCTGCTTGCCATTCAGTGTTACCTCTGATTTCCATTTGGTGACACCCGCAGGGGGAAAGAGGTGAGTCCTCATAGAGTGAGGAGACACTGGAGCTGGGGGTGCTGGGGCCGGCATAGGGGGCGGGGGTGGGGCTACAAAGGCCAAGGGCGGGGGCAGGGGGAATGAAATCAGGAGGGGTGGGTGTGGTTGGGGGGGACAGGGTCCCTGATACTGGGGGTGGAGGAGGGGCCATGTTGGGTGGCGGTGGGGGTTCCAGCAGCAGGGCAGGTGGCAAGGAAGCCATGGAAGGTGGAGGTGGTGGCGGGGACTCCCCTGGAGGTGGCGAAGTGTCTGGGGGAGGTCCTGGAGGTGGCCCTGGGGCGGGGCCGGGGGGAGGTGGGGGGATGAGCGGGTCCTGGCCATAGTGCCCAGGCCTGAGGTCGCCCACAGAGCTGTACAGTCGGAGGCTGCCATTGGCTAGTGGGCTGGTACCTGGAAGGAGGGAGAGACAAAGATGAGGAGGCATGAGGCGGACCAGCTCTGGCCACCTCTGTGTGCCCAGGGCACAGGGGTGGGCAACCTAGGTAGTAACTGGCTGGGGTCAGGCCTTTCCTCTTGAGCACCAAGTGAGGGAGCAGCAATGTCTCCAGTCTCCCGAGCTGTCCTGGGAGTGACCTTGTCCTCTGGAGGGAAGGACGCCTGCGGTTCCTGGCCCGGCCTCTAGAGACTGTACTGCATATTCTCCGTTTGCTCCGGAGAGTCATATTGTGCCTTCCCTGCCCTGCTCACACTCTGGTATCTCACCCCTTTACTGAACTCTCTTCAGTTACCCACTCTGAGGGCACCATCTATTTCTTACAAAACCAGGAAGACCAGGGTTCAGATCTCAGTCTTACCACTTACCAGATGTGTGACCTTGGACACACTAATTAACCTTGCCGAGCCTCAGTTTTAGCCTCTCTAAAATGGGCATAATATCAGTGCTCACCACAGCGGTTGTGAGGATTCAATAAGGTAATTCATGTAAATCCATATAAAGGGCCTATCAAGGTGCTAGGCCCATCGTAGTCACTTACGAATGAATAGTAACCGCTTTGATTACTACCTCCCATGCTCAACGGCTCAGACTGTGCCAGACAGACAGGGAAAGTAAGAGTGAGGAAGTCATGGGTCAAGGGCAGGGCCTGGAGACCCTCTCAGTGAGGAAGTTTAGGTGAAAGTTTAGGAGGGATCAATTTATATGAGCAACTCCTCTTTCTAAAGACCCTGAATCTGCCCAGAGCTCAGCTGTCCACCCCACAGAGAACTTCTAGAACACACTCTGGCCTGTGGGATGGAATGGAGGCGTGTAGAAAGAAGGTGACCAGGACAATCTGGCACCAGAGAGATGCTGAGTGCCCCTGGGCCAGCAGCTCACACCCTCCCAGCTTCTTAAAGTCTGCACAGCCAGGATACCCAGGTTGCTTCTCTCTTAGGGGCACCCCTTTCCCACCCCATCCCCTCTTTGCTTCTAGCACAGAGCATAACAAACCTGGGGAATGTGCAGCTCTGAAGGGCTCCTCCAGCTATCTGACTTCATAACAAAGAACAGAGGACAGCCCGGCCAGTGTGGCTCAATGGTTGAGCATTGGCCTATGAACCAGGACGTCACAGTTCGATTCCCATCAGGGAACGTGCCCAGTTTGTGGGCTTGATTCCCCAGTAGGGGGCGTGCAGGAGGCAGCTGATCAATGATTCTCATCATTGATGTTTCTATCTCTCTCCCCCTCTCCCTTCCTCTCTAAAATCATAAAAATATACTTAAAAACAAACAAACAAAGCAACTGGACCTTATGTTTAAATGGGACAATGAGACAGACCAGCAGTACATTATTACCACATTCGGATGGGGAACATGAGGGGGACACCCAGGAGGGGAGCTGGAGTGCGCTGTGAATAGGGTGATCAGAGAAGGCCTCCCTGAGAAGATGACATTCGAGCACAGAGGGCAGGCCTGGGGAGAGAGCTGCCCGGAGGGCCAGGAGGGGAGCAGTCTAGGCAGAGGAAGTGCAGTGTAAAGACTCTGGGGCGGAGAGGTGCCTGGGCGTTGCAGGAGCGGCAAGGAGAGCGGCTGGCTGGAGGAGGGTGAGCCAGGAAAGCAGGCCGTGAGGCCTGGCGAGGCCAGATTCTACCAGTCCCTGCAAGAACCTTCCCTCTGAGTGGCATGGAAAGTCGCTGGAGGTTTTGAGCAAGAGGTATGACAACAAGTGACTTACATCCCACCCAGGACTTCCTACTCCACCAGCACTGGGACTGTCCTTCCCAGCGCGCATGCGATGGACAGGTGTCAGGGGTTAAGTGATTTGCCCAAGGGAGCAAAGCGAATGTGCAGGGTCCTGGGACTCAGAGCCAGGTCTGTCTGACTCCATGGTTCTTCCTCCCACTTGGTGCTGTTCTGGCCATCCTCCCCCTGTAGGCCTCACCCACCCCTGGACTCCTCAACCCCCACCCTCTGCAGCCAGTAGCCAAGAGGCCTGGGGACTCTGGTTTTATCGCCAGCTGGGGAGGTGGGCCAGATACCTGGGCCTGAAGAGGAAAGAAAGATGGACAAGCCCCAAGCCCAGGGTTCTCTTACCTGTCACTTCCTTGTCTGCAAAGTCTTCTGGGACAGAGGGGGTGGGCACAGCCAGGCCATGGTTCTCCTGGGCATTCTGAAAGAGAGCGGGGAGATCAGGAACGGGGAGAAACGGAGGGGCCATTCTTACCGCGCTGCTGGGTGAGGGCACGCACATACCGCTGTGAGGGTGACGGGGGCACAGCCTCCGAGTATACTAACGTATGAAAGGGCTCATTTCAAAAGGTGAATGTTATGATGCAGTCGAGTTTTGTCATTCACACCAATTATGGTCTGTAAAGTCGCCTCAAGGAAAATGCAAAGTTAGGTTCCTGCAAACCTTGGCTACAGAGTTTTCATCAATGGATCAATACATAACCTCGCCCTGGCTGGGTTTGGCTCAGTGGATAGAGCTTCGGCCTTCAGACTGAAGGGTCCTGGGTTCGATTCCGATCAAGGGCACATGCCCAGGTTGCTGGCTCGATCCCCCAGTAGGGGGCGTACAGGAGGCAGCGGATCAATGATTCTCTCTCATCATTGATGTTTCTAACTCTCCCTCTCCCTTTCTTATGGAATTTAAATACATAACTTTGTTGTATGCGTGTTTCTGTTTAAAGACACCTTGTTTAATAGACATTGTTGATTCATTAACATTGACCTCATGGCCGATACTATAACTCACTATTGAACGAAGCTGATCCCACACACGTATTTTCTCTCCCGGGTACATCACGGCCTCCCTGCTCTAAGGGGCCTTAGCATTTCAGCACTATGCTCGGGGGCCATGGGAAACAGTGAGATCACCCACAAAAAGCACAGAAATACAAAAAGCAGGGCACTAAACAGAAAAGGACCCTTGTTAACCACACGAGGCCTAACAAGAAGCAAAGTGTCCCCTTATTGCACCTCGGCTGGGACTGTGGGCATCAGGTGACTGACAGTTTTACTCTTCTCTCTCTACACGTGACCGAAGCATCTCAGATATTGACTCGGGTAGCAGGTACATTTTAGTGGGTAGGTGAGTTTCCAAATATAAAGTCCACAAATGACGAGAATCAGCTGTGTATTAATTATATCGATTAAAACGAAACAAAACAGAACATCTGGGGGATGTCCAATAGTTCAAAGCCGAGCCCCAAGGCCCGGCCTGCTGCTCGCTCTCAGTTTTCATCAGGGAGCCACAGAAAAACAAACGAGCGGAAAGAGGTGCTCGGGCGCTCTGACACCCTGCGATGCCCTTCTCATCCCTCAGCTTTGCAGGCGATGTGTTTGCACAGCTGTCGGGTTTGTACATACTATTTTGCATTCCATTTTTTTCTCCAAACACACATTTCCATAGGTCAACAAAGGCCTCACACCTGTCCTTTGAAGAGCAGAGAGCATTTTATGGCGGCTTCGTGGGTCCTCAACAACCTGGCCTCACACTTCCCGGCCAACTCTTATTTCCCACTCACCTGGACACCCCCCCCCCCCCCCCACCGAATCCCTCCCAGCCAGCCATCCTTCCAGCCCAGGCGCTCCCGCCCTCCCCTGACGACGCTGGCGTTGGTCAGGCTGTGACCCTCTTCTCCTCCATGTCTAACAACAATACCCCTTGCACTGTGCTCTACACACAGGACCCCAGTCACATCAGGCTACTCCCTCATGGGCTGATGGCGCTAACCCTCTGGGCATAATATATAAGAAGCGTGTTTCAGAAACATCTACAGGGTCTCGGGTTACCAAGGGTCATCCCAAAATCACTCTCTGGTCTTTTGGGGGCAACAAACACCTTCTTTTCTTTCTCTTTTTAAATATCTTTATTGATTTCAGAGAGGAAGGGAGAGGGAAAGAGAGATAGAAACATCAGCGATGAGAGAGAATCATTGACTGGCTGCCTCCTGCATGCCCCCTGGTGGGGATCAAGCCCACAACCCAGGCATGTGCCCTTGACCGGAATCGAACCTGGGACCCTTCAGTCCGCAGGCTGATGCTCTATCCACTGAGCCAAACCAGGTAGGGTAAACACCTTCTTATTCTTAACAAATTCTGCAACTGGAATGGCCTGAAGTCATCATCTCTTTCGGCCTCCACTTGATGCCCACGGCCACCACACACCTGCTCTCAACATCTCTCAACCCCGGTGATTCTTGACAGGGACAGGTGTAGGGACAGCCAGTCTGTGCAAGTGTACGTGCGTGCGCGCGCGCGCACACACACACACACACACACACATGCACACACACACACCACTGATGTCTAATCGCATCCTCAAACATGCACACTCCCATTTTGATGAGATGGAGACCAGGCCTTCAAAGGCCAGGCTGTGATCTCTGATTGCTCTTTTGAACATAACTGGAAAGTAGAAAGACTTGGGGACTTAGCACCAAAATGCATACTTTGGCCCTAGACAGCTTGGTTCAGTGCTAGAGCGTCGGCCTGCGGACTGGAGGGTCCTGGGTTCTATTTCGGTCAAGGGCACGTACCGAGGTTGCAGGCTCCATCCCTGGCGCAAGTAAGGACACATGCGGGAGGCAACCAATTGATGTGTCTCTCTCACGTCGCTGTTTCTTTCTCTCTGTCTCTCCCCCTCCCTTCCACTCTCTCTGTAAAATCAATGGAAAAATATCCTCGAGTGAGGATTAACAAGAAGAAGAAAATTCATGCTTTGAATTTTGCCCGCAGTGTGATGTCCGATGAGCAGTGGCGAGGGGTGGAGGTGGTGATGCTAAACTCTCACTTCTGCACCTACTGTGTGCCAGCACTATCCTGAGCGCTTCTCCTATGTTACCTCAAATCCCTTAACAGTGCCAGGGTGCAAACCTAGGCCTCCCAACGTACCTTCTCTACAAATCACCGAGAGCCATTCTCCTCACTCATCAAATTCTCAGGGTCACTCTGAGAACCAAATGAGATAATATCCCGAAGCCAGGAGATCAGTGCTGGGTGAAGGGTTACGTCATTGACCCCTTTCCCACACGGTGAAAACACTGAACCAGGGAACCGCCTGCAGCTCTGGAGGCACCTGGGGCATCTGGGGCACCTGAGTGCTTACGTCTAGTTACATCTGGAGGAGGAGGACTGGCGGCTTTATGGGCCGGAGGTCACACTGCTCACCCAGCTTTGATCCTAACGACTCTGGAAGCACATAGACTCCCAGCAGCACCGGATGGGAGTCTCTCCCACGTGGCCTGGGAGCAGCAGCCCAGGCAGAGCCCAGGCTTGCCAGGTGCCCGCACACAGGGGGTCCCAGGACGTATCCACCACCCACCGCCGTGCTCTGGGTGCGGGCACTCCACTGCGCACCACCCTCGGGGCAGGTCCCGAAGTCCAGCCGCCTCCTTCCAGGAGCCCCAGGACTGAACTGAACACCGCCCCGCCTCTCCAAGCCCCCGCTGGCCCTGCCCGGTCACACTCGCGCCCCACGGGCTCTGGCGGCTCATTTTGCTGTTCCTACGTCCACTCTGTGTATTCAGAGAAGGCAAACACAAACTCATTTTAAAATCAGTCCTGGGGCCCTAACCGGTTTGGCTCAGTGGACAGAGCATCGGCCTGCGGACTGAGGGGTCCCGGGTTCGATTCCAGTCAGGGGCATGTACCTTGGTTGCGGGCACATCCCCAGTGGAGGGTATGAAGGAGACAGCTGATCGATGTTTTTCTCTCATCGATGTTTCTAGCTCTCTATCCCTCTCCCTTCCTCTCTGTAAAAAATCAGTAAAATATATTTAAAAAAATAAAATAAAACCAGTCCTAGGAAACAGACCCAGAGGTGACCTCCCTCAGTTCGCCACAGGTCGCGGGCAGCTGGCATGGAGCGCGCTGCCCGATGGCGACCTGTTTCGGCGGGCAGAGCCCTCGGTGCTGAGTCCCCTGACCTGCCTCCTAGCCCCAGAGAACAGAGGAAAGAAGAGGCTTGGAGGCGACACCCAGATGCAATGCGTGAAGGACAGCAATGGGCGATGGGCAGTAATTAATGTAAATGAAGGTGGGTGAGATGACAGCATCACATCATCATTAAACTCCTGGATTGGAGCGTGTGCAGAGAAGTCTCTGTTCTTCGGTAGCGCACACTGAAGTGTTTAAGAGGAAAGGGGTGCGAGGTCTCAGCTTACGCTGCAAGGGTTCAATGGAAGAAACAGTGTGTACCTGTCAGTGAGGGAGGGAGCGAATGGAGCCAACATGGCAAAACGTGGTGAGTCTGAGTGAAGGCTCTAGGGCAGTGATGGCGAACTTATGACACACGTGTCAGAGGTGACACGCGAACTCATTTTTTTGGTTGATTTTCTTTGTTAAGTGGCATTTAAATATATAAAATAAATATCAAAAATATAAGTTTTTGTTTCACAATGGTTGCAAATATCAAAAAATTTCTGCCGAAACCGGTTTGGCTCAGTGGATAGAGTGTCAGCCTGCGGACTGAAGGGTCCCAGGTTCTATTCTGGTCAAGGGCATGTACCTGGGTTGCGGGCACATCCCCAGTGGAGGGTGTGCAGGAGGCAGCTGATCGATGTTTCTCTCTCATCGATGTTTCTAACTCTCTATCTCTCTCCCTTCCTCTCTGTAAAAAATCAATAAAATATATATTAAAAAAAAATTTCTATATGTGACACGGCACCAGAGTTAAGTTAGGGTTTTTCAAAATGCTGACACGCCGAGCTCAAAAGGTTCACCATCACTGCTAGGGAGTTCATTGAGCTTTCCTGCAACTCATCTCACCTTAGGATTGGTCAGAGAGAAAAAGTTACTGAATGCCACCGAATCATACATTTAAAAGTGATTAAAACGGTATTACGCTATGTGTATCTTACAATTTTAAAGATTTTTTTATTGCTTTTTAGAAAGAAGGGAGAAGGAGAAACATCGATGTGAGAGTGAAACATCCACCAGCTGCCTCCTGCACGCTACCTACTGGGGATCGAGCCTGAAACCCAGGCATGCCCCGACCAGGAACTGAACTGGCAACCTTTTGGTGCACGGGACGACGCCCAACCCACTGAACAACACCGGCCGAGGCTGTATCTTACAATTTTTAATAAGTTAAACAAAACAATGACAAGAATATCGAAAGAGAAAGTGTTGGGCGAGACTTAGAGCTTATCCACCCACTGTCATCAG